AATGTACATATGAATTTATGTTTGGCAACACTCCAAAGCCATATTTGTCTGTTTCAATTTAACACTACCCTCCTACATGTAGACAATATGGAAACTAGATTTAACTGGGTTTATGTTATTATTAAACGTTGTCTTTCTAATGGACCTTCCATTGTTTTCAAAAGCTGGAGTACCTACTAAAAATCAATTAAAATCCCCCATAAATTTTAAAATACATTTCATACCATCTACATATTAATACCGACTACAAAAAAACCAAAAATGTATTTTTTAAGTCTTTAAGGTTATAAACACAATGAACAATTCGTTTCCCGAATCCAAAAGAATTTACTCGACTTATTTTTTGATTTTTTATTAAGTCAAGAATGTTTTTTTTTTTAATTACAATAAACCAGTAGCCGGCCTTAATACGAAAAAGAACTTACATAAAATGATCGCAAATTTTTCGTATTCGTTCATAGAGGACGAAAGAAATCCAAAGTAGTTTATACAAATTATGAATGATATTTTTAGGAATTTACCTACTGAAATTTCTACATAACTATATGTCTTAAAAAACAGACTGTTTATGCAACACTAATTGCTTTTCCGTGACTTCGCCTGCGTAAATTATTGCGTATGTCACCCGCGTATGACGTAGATTCCCGTAGATGAAAGAATTTTCATGATCGGATCAGCAGAGCAATTCTGTAAAAATCCTCACCCGAATTCGAATTCACTCATACGTCCTAATTCACGTCATTTAGTGTAGAAATTATATTGATTCCATTTTTGTATAAAATACAAAATAAGATTGATTGATTCATACGTGTCACAGATATTCTATTCCTATGTCATTCATAACTCACTTCACTTGTGCCACGAAACGTTATTAACGATTCAAGTTTGAGCGGATGCCGCTTTTCAAAGTGTATTCGTACACCTGAGTGAATTCAAATTCGGGTTCGGATTTTAACATAATCGCATGTCAGTATTTCCAAGATTACTCCCTGTAAAACATACATACAAACAAACAAACATAGTAAGAAACTTTACTGTAATATTATAGTACATGTAGATAAATGCACTGAAAATTAAGGTCGATTAACGACTTGTAATCTGTGTTAAGTATAGGATTTGTATTCTAAGCGATGACGGTATTTTTTTTTATGATCAATATTCTAAACATAGAATACGTTAGAATATCATGAGTAATATGGATGAGTCGCTAAATTTAAACGAAATAAACTCTCTTAAAACAGCGCGAATTGAACTGGAGCCCAAAATTATATTATTTTCGTCATAAATTAAAACTAAATAAAACCACAGAGTAGAGAGGTAAGACCAAAATCTTTAGACTAAATAAATATATATATAACCTGCCATTAGAAACGAGTCAGCCTATATTTGCCGTCTTACGGATATCGTCTTATTATAACACCACGACAAACTTAACTACCAGTTTTAAACTATTATCCGACCAAAATAAGACGACACGTCTCCAGTTGACGTATTTTAAACCAAGTATTAACGGAATTAATTTTTATAATAAAATGTCGAAGTGAAGATGCGCTGAGCTCAGCAAATAGGTATAAGGTTGACAGTGATGATGATTAGGTAAAAGAAAAACTTTAAGAGTAGATAATTAACAAAAACATTGCTCTAAAAGTCCTTCGACGTTTTTCTCAAATGTACGTAACTAGATACAGTCAACAGCACAAAATACACAATACAAAATTGGCAAATTTTTCCGATTGATTTTAAATCTTGTTGCGTTGTGGGTAGAGTTCAGAATCAATTGCAGGTATTTGTAATATTGTGGTAACATGACGTTCTTCTGTGTACATATTATATGAGCACCTAATAGTTGGTACAAATCAGCAAAGTTCATTTAAATTTAATGTTTATTTTGTAAACAAATGATGACTAACTAAAACGCTAGCCGACAAATTAAATTATTCCGTATTCGGCTCTACGTGAATACTTATAAGGTGACTCATTCAGATTTGGCCATTTTTTATCATTTATTAATGACGAGCCTCAGTGGGAGACTTAATTCGTAGTTCGTGCTCCTATTCTTAAATGTCAGCTAATCGTATGTGTTCTAATTAGTAGGTTAAAAATATGACTTCAAGTTTTTAATTTGCTATACTTTGTGAAAATATTTATTTCGGCTGTTCGGGTGGATCCACCCGCCTGAACATTGATGAAAATACGCCCTGTAGTAGCAAAAAAGTAACAAGTGCTTGAAATTTTTGTCGGTCCTGTTAGGTCCTGGGTAGCTCAGTGGTTAGAGCAGTCGCCCGGATTGTGAAAGGTTGTGGGTTCGAATGTCATCTCAGAATACCAGGGACAAAGAGCATTTTTCATTAAGATTAGTTTAAGTTAATTTTAAATTATCCTTGACATGCGAAAGTAGCCAATAGTTGGACAAAACTGTTCAATAACCCATATACTACGACATCCGTGGCCGAGTTTGCTCGCCGGCTTCAATGTATCGCCTATTTTGAGGTCCTGGGTTCGGTACCCAATCGGTGCCAATATAGAAATTAACTTTTCTTTATTAACTGTCTCGGTGCTGGGTACACCCTTCAAAGCGATATGCAACACCTATCTTTCGCGCTATGACAAAAAGGTGGTTCTCTGAGCGACATAGAAGGATATACCAACGATTAAAGACAATAACGTGCCAACAAACAAATGCATTAAAATAAACCATAAAAAATGAAAACCGATTGGCAGTTCAATAGTTAACACATTTGGAAGTTAGCCAATAAAATTTGTAGGTAATTAGGTCTTACGTAATTACATAACATTCGTTAATTAATTTATTTTAATAGATATGAATAGAAGATACGATAAACTGTTTCTTTAAATTATTCAACCTTTAATATGGTACATTTTTTATAATTACATACTATATTTTGAATGCAAAATTACCAACTAAAGTAAATGTTATATCCATTTTTGTATATTTTACAGAATGGGTTTTATGAAATATTTTCTACTTATATATAATTAGTCAAATAACGTCTGAGGACGAGATTTTAATATAAATTTTTAATATATGGAGAAACAAATAATTCTGTCCCACTCTAATGCTTTAAGAATACGGTAACTAGAGCAGGACGCAGATTTATGCAAGTCGATCCGTTTCGAAACTCATTAAATGCCCCGTCCCAATTTTATCATTTACCCTAAAACAGATGGCCCGCACTCGATGCGAAAGTCGATATTGTTATCCTAAATCGGCGAGTGCTCGTTGCGAAATTGGTATATTTTATTTCGGAGTTGCGCACGCGCTAACGTGCGTGTATTTCTGGACGAGCACGCGCTCGTGTTACAGACGGAAAGTCCGTCGAGATGCGTGAATCACGGACATAAGAGGATGGATATTGTGAAGCTTAAATTGGAGCGATATCGATGATCAAACGATGTCTAAAAGATTTCTCGATTCTTATACTGTTCGATGAAATCTGCTATTAGTTTGTGAAAATAATATCCTGATTTATTTTTTAATAGGCGAGATCGTAACAAACTCATGTTGCCGCCTTCACGCATGCAGATATACCACTCTAACCCACTAGTCATGTCCGCAAGAATATTAAACAAACTGCCATGTGCAATTATAAGTATAACCAAAGAAAAAGCTTCATAAAACATGTTAAGGATTTTCATAGTGACAAACATTATTATACAATTAATTAATATTTAACAGATACATTTAATTAACTAAATAAACAATATCAATTAATTAATTATGTATTAGATAATAAAAACAATAAATATTGAAATATAGGTAGTATCAAAGTTGGTATTTTAGAATGCAATTACATATGAACGTAGAATCTACCTGTTTTTTTTTTTAATTTGCGTCCTCTACTCTCCTAATTGTCGTGCCCGACGGGGTCCATGATGATACATATCCTCTTTGTAACACCTTTGTTGCAATAAAGAAATTGAAATCATATTTTCAGACTTGTTTATATACGTAATTTGATAGCAGTTATTAGTTAGTGAAAATGAGACCTTATTCTCTATTAATACTTTGAGTGCATTAAATTATTAAACCTCAAGCCAGTTCCACCCAATATAGCTTATTTGGCCTGTGGGCAGTACGGTAGAACAATAGGTATATTTATTGAACAATCATATATTTAAACAATTCATATTCTTATATAACTATCTATATAATTAGCTCGATGACGTAGTGGTTAGCGCGTTGTTTTGGATGCGGAAGTTAGGCCACTGTCGCAAGGGCCGGTCATAGGATGGGTGGGATATGATTTATTATCTCAGGCCCTATATTTTCGATATACTAGTTTTATTAACAACGTTTTATCTCTTTGAGGTACTCGTAAATAATTGCACCTGAATTCCCTCTACTGCAACTACTAACTCAATTCCCTCTACGCATATAATTTGTGTTATTTTTAACCTTTTTTATTTCAATAAGATTTTATTTTAACTAGCTATTGCTCATGGTTTTTCCTGCATAGTCTAATTGATATAATATTAGTAAAAACTGGTTAAGTTGTGACGTCATCGTCAGGCGTTTGTTAGTTTTACACTTTCGAAGTAAATAAAATAAAGAAAAATTCGGCCAATTTTCGTCAATTATTGATAAATTAGAAGCGTTATAAATTAAGAATTCATTATAAAATCCATGAAGACAACAAACTGTACTGAGAATTCTTTTATCAAAAAAATCTTTCGCTTTATAAGTGAACTACTTATAAAGTCAAAATTATTATTATTCAAATAAACTTACAAAAGGTACTTTTGAATCGGCAAATATATTATTAACCGTTTAGGGCGTCTGGCCGATAACAGGTGCGAGCAAATGAAACTCACCAGCTCTAACAGAAGTCCTATCATTTACAAAAATCCATCGTCCATCTTTATATCCTTCATAGAGACTAGCTCTAGTTCACTGTAATTATGGAGTCTGCAAACCCAGTAGCGTATATATGCTAATTTCTGTCTAAGCTAACAATTAACATGCGCATGATTTGTTTCAGAAGTGATGCGCCGCGTGGCATGCGCCGACGTGTGCCCCGCGCCGCCCGCGCACCCCCACCTCAATAATAACAACAGGTAAAATATATCTTATCGATTTCCTCTCATTTTTTTTTATTATATCTTCGATCTCATCTTATTACATTGCGTTAAAGAGTTAAACTCTTAAGGCACTTTGGCACTTGGCTACACGTCATAAACTTTTCCAAAAATGTTTTTTTTATTATTATTTATAATTGGCTTACTCTTGAGTCAATCTAGCCCAAAGATATAAATGAGATTTACCGATTGTTTTACCGATAAGCTAAATTATTATTATGATACACATCTTATTGAAGCATCACGTTTTTCTAATTAGTTATTTTATTAAAGATCCACTACAGCACCAGCCATACGTTTTAAATGACTTGTTTTTATCTAAGTGGTTCCCGTTTAGTAGTAGGCCAATACAGTTTTTGGCTCATGTTGAAAATATTTGCCTTTAAATTGGAAAGAAAATATATTCCCGAGAGAGCCCAAATATTCATCAAATCGTAATTAAAAAAACTGAAATCTCACGATTTATAATTGTCACCTACTCATCTAAAAGGCCTAAATTAAGGATTTTTTTTTTCAGATCAGAAAACAAAGAACTACTACGGCAACAACTTCTGTCGGCGAGTAAAGATCGGCTCACGGAAAAGACTGATCCTCCCAAGCAGAAGCTGGCAAGGAACCGACAGAAGAACCGATGGAAGTTAAAATTCCATCACCAGGCACTTCCCCAAGAGTACCTTGATCACTACGAGCAAAGTTTGCAGAAAGCGAACGCGAAACAAGCCCAGAAACCAAAGCCTCCAGAAAAGAAACCAGAACCAAATTTTGATATAAACAATATAACAAATGAAACCTTCAAGATATGGGCACAGAGGCTAGCGGGCATACAGAATGAGCCTGGTTCAATGACCACCGTACCTACAGTATTAAACATGGCAGCTAAACAGTCTAATAAAGATGAGAAGAAGAAAAAACATCCTACTATAGCTCCTAGCAAAATTGTAACTTATGAAGACTTACCATACATGGGGGAGATGACTCTGAATAACTCCAAACCTCGGAGAGGTCGCAAACCAAAGAAGGCAGACATCTGCCACCTCATATACGAGAACTATGGGACAGTTGTGCCAGGGCAGCCACCGCCTGTGCAAGAGCGATTAAATTCCCTTACTATGTGTCCTTCTTATAGAACTGAAAACGGTCCGAGTACTCCTAAAACTGATCTGCAGAATAAAATTATATCCAGTCTATTAGAAAGGAAACTGTCACAGGAACACAAGAGGAGATTAGAAAATATGTCACCGCAAAGATTTAATAGTCCAGACGAACCTATGCCTGAAGCTCCTTTAACGATACCTGGTCCGCTTCACAGCGATGACGAACCCTTAAATTTGTGCATAAGAGACCTCCACGATTTAAAGCTGCAAATTCAAAAGAAGTTCGGTAACATTTATCCGTCAATGCCTGACGTCAAAACTGAAGTCGATGTGGAGCCGGAGACACAAAAAACAGAACAAACCAACGCCATCTCTGTGATACAGAGGAACACCAATCTTCTACCTATGACCGCGAGTAGTTCGCCCGATCTTTCGCGGCAAACTAGAACTATTTCTCCTGCTTTATCAGAACCGGCACAATCTACTTCGAGCCCTGATGGCGACGGGAAGTTTCCAGGATATGTGTACTGGCCTAACGCAGGCATATACATGCATCCTTTAGCTTTACAAACGCAACTTTTATATTATCAAAGGTTAGCAGCTGCTGGACAATTACCGAGCGAAGACCAAGAACGAGTTCTTTCAACACCTAATAGTGTAAATGAAAGTGTATCAACAGAAACAAATTCCTCGGTAGACGAGAGTAAAAACAAATTAGTATTAAAACAAATATCAGAACTTCTAGATCCTAAAGTAATTAAGCAAGTGGAAGAAGCTAAACGAAGTCCGGAACAGCCGAAATTGAAGAGAGCTTCACCGAATCCGATTCCTGGGCCCGTTAAAAGAAAACGATCGGCTATTTTTATTCCCCCTATGCCTACAAAAAGTAGTTCAACAACGCCTACTACAGAAGTCAGTATCTGTAAATTTAAGTTCACAGGTGGATCCAAACCTTCATTACAAGAAAAGAAAATGTTATCCGTAGACTCGGGAGGCAACTTTAGATATTACAGTGGCACTGGAAACAAAGGCAACAAAGGCTACGAATACATGCAGAGGGACGCGAACCAAAACAGAAATGCGGAAGCAGAGGCTTCTGTATCAACGTTACCGAAAACAGAAGGGCAAAGCTCGTCTATGAGTAAGGAGGAACTGAACAAAAAGAAGAGAAAGTCCAGAAAAAGCTTACAGAGAGAAAAATTGGAGCAGACGTTTAAGGAAAAGGGGTTTCTAATACAAACTCAACAGTTGCAGTCCGCTGAAGGGGCGACGTATTGTAAGTTTAGGCAATTGAGGAAATTCACCAGGTATTTGTTCAGGAGTTGGAAAGACTACCTGCCTGGGGAGTTAGAAGAGAAAAATAACGGGGAACCTGCCCAAGAACAACAGGCATCACCATCGGATGAAGCAAACGTGGGAGAATGGGGCTGAATCTCATTCAGACGTTCTTTAATAAGCCAAAGAAGTGAAAGATAAACCTGGCTACTAAACGATGCTAGTGGCTGAATTATGCATTTATTAATGTTTATAGTGAGATTTAAATTGTTTACTACAAATTTATCAGAATCGCCACTCCGTCCACGTACTGAATTGTGTGCCTTTCGCTTTGTTACGGTTTGTTGTGTACCTTTTAGTTAATAAGTAGATCTAATATAGTAATTGATCACATTAATTTATATTGGTACTTAACTCAGAGGTGAGTCTCAAACTTTTACTGGTACATAATTGAAAGCTGGTATATGAATTTAACTCAATAAGAGTAATATTCAAATACGCACTAAGTCATAACATACATACACATAATACATAGATATCACATTATATATAATAATAATACTGTTGCAGTTTCTTAAAATAGTGAGGCCGTTACCTAATGACGTCATCGTTTATATACTTTTTAAGTTTAGATCCTTTGTGGAACAAGTGAAGGTATAGATATATCTACTTAATTTTAAGCCGTAATACATCGCCATTAAGGTTCAAAATAAATAACATTTTGCAGTTATCTTATCCATATTTTGGACATAATGTGATCAAATACTATTATTAGCGGTCTCTTTTTTATAAAGTTTGAGCGTATCGTAAAATATTTATTTAGTGTAATATTTGAAAAACATGATATTTACAAATAGTTATTAAAATACATTTCACAGTTTGTCTGCATTTAAAATTACAATTTCATCAATTTATTACAGTCAACAAAGTTATTAAAAAAAGATAACTGTGCAAACATTCTTATAAATTTTTTTCTTCTATTAAAGTATTAGTACACCTAATGGTACATAAAATAAGCTAAGCCACTATGTATTTATATAAAAAACTATTATTGTTACTAACTTTTGTTGTCGACTGTACACAACGCTCAGGCATTTTTCGGATTGGCTTGTAATAGCATCGTATGTTCCTACGATTGTTAAGACAAAAAGCAGGCCCCTTATAAAGAGATCCAATTCAGTAATTAAGTAAACCACTAACAAAACTAGTCAATTGACACCTCTAACATAGATTTTAGTTAGTTAAAAAATGTACATATGCAAAGAGCGAGAGTTATCTAGTCATTAATTTTAAGTTTTTTTGTTAATTAACTTGTACAGTTTTAATGAAAGTAATATAATAATTGTTTTATACGTAATTTAATTAAAACACAGTTTTGTACTCAAATTTTTTTTTATTGCAAAACATAATGCCATCGTGAGAGGAATGTATAATGTCCCGAAATAAAGATTAACCAAATTTATAACTATTTTGTTTGATTTTATCAACAAAGGAAGCCCATGCAAATAGAAAAGCGATTATATAGGGTATTTGCCAAAAAAATCAACCACATATAAAACTAATTGCACAAATACATTACAAAGTAACTTTTTATATTTTACTGTGATCCAAATATAATATTTGGATCAGCCTCTTATTTCACATTTAAAAAATTGTAGGATGGACTGATGGATATTTATGGTTTATAATATAAAATAATATTATGACGTTGTGTTTGAGCAAGACCAATTATTATGATAAAATCGTTATTTATGGAAACAAATTTTATTATCATCCACAATCAATAATAACATTGATTATATCATAAAATGACTATAAGCCTCTGCACCCTTTCGATATTCAATATATTGGAAATATCTACTTCAAACATGGCTTCGCCAATAAAAAGGCAAACACCCTACAATCGTCTTAGACTTTAATAATTATCTATACATATAAAAAAACAAGTTCATATACTCTTATTATATGGTCCCAAAACAAGATTCAGCAAATATGTCGTACAAAATCGTACAAACAGTTTATAGTATAAAAAGGTATCCTTACATACTAACCCTTCACAAAACCTTCAACAGTCTCTATAACCTTGTGCGTTCATAAAGGCACTTTCAACATATAAATGATGAATTATATAAAAACTACAACATACATATAATTTATATTCTTAGGAACTATTAACTATTTTGGAAATCAGTTTTTTTTTATATATAGCATGATTAGGAAAAAACTGGATAATCTACATCAACCATATCCACTACAAATGGATACTAGAAAGTATTTTTTAAAGGAATGTAACTTACTGTGTAGAATGTTCATACGAATAATATGTATTTAGGAAAGTAATGAGTTGTTACTGTTCTATAATATGTAGGTAGATTCATAATAAAGTTATGGAATAACCAATAAAGGTATGTATTTCTAATTATTATCACAATTTTCAGCCTGATCAAGTGAAGACGTGTTTCATGAGAACATTTTGCTTCAATTTTAACTTTCAACTTATTCTTTTGAATATCTGAAAGACTTGTAAGTTACAAAAAAATTGCAAGCAGCAATCTCAACTTTCATGACATTTCAAAATTTGTATGTTGTTATAATTTTTTTGTAACTCCTACATTGTTCAATATGACACTACAAATAACTACATAACACTATAACTAACCTACTCCATTATAAAAAATATAATTTGTAGATTTCACCTTCATTTGAAATCTTAATTCATAGAAGATTCATTCAAATCACATATAAAATTGACACATAAAAATAAGAACAGTAACAACTCAGTTTGAATCTTACGGCTTAGGCTTTAAGTATGGCTTTGGCGGCGGCGACGATGTGAGGGGCGGAGATTCCGTATTTGTCGAGCAAAGCCGCGGGCGGACCCGAGCGAGGTACTTCGCGCACGTAAATATGTTTAACGATGACGTCACGTTCTAGAGCCAAAGCAGACATCACTGCTTCACCGATACCACCTGTAACACAAAGGATTATAGTAGAATTTCGAAATATTTAATTTGAATTCTTCAAAAGGTTGAAGCTTTAGTTATTACTGGCAACACTGACAGCGACTATATAGATAGTCGATTTTGATTTTGATTTCATACCAAATTAATTTACACAAATAATATTATAAAGGTTACATTTTATAATGTTAATTATGAATGTGATAAATCAAATGTTATTTAATATAATTCAATATAAAAAAAAAAAACAAAATTAACTAGTCCTTTCCAAAATTATCGCAGTTCAATATTGATGCAAGTTTTTTATTAAAAAGCATTAAAAACTTATAGAGTATCTTTACATCCGCCTCACTACTAAGTTAATGCTACATTTACCCTGTAATTTAACCATCTTTTCGAGACTTGCAAACTTCTGATACATGTGTTATATGTTATTGTGAGACAGACAGACATACTGACCGGCTTGATAGTGATCCTCTACGACGACGACTCGTCCCCCGACGGCGCGCGCGTGCTTCACCACCGCGGCCTCGTCCAGGGGTTTGATGGTGAATGGATCCAATACGCGGACCTCCACGCCTATATATATAACAATTAAACATTAGGAGAGTCAAATACTTTGGAATCTATTCCTAATTTATAACATGGTCAATAAAGACATGACTGGTTTCCTCAACTGATTATTTTTTAATAATTTAGACAGTCCCAGTTTTATCGAACTGCTATTAACTGTATGTTAAAAAAATAAAAAACGTAACCTATTTAAGTGACGTTTAAGATAGCTAAAGTACGGTTTGAGACATGCTCGACTTTAAATTCTCAATTCGGAAACTGGGTGATAGAACAATACATAAATGGATAGAAATAGCAGTTATTATATTATGAATACACTGAAAATTAATTAAGAAGAATTATGAAAGTATATTACTTATATTATTATACATACGCACATACTCAAAAAAGAAGTTAGTCTATTATAATAGGTTAGCCTATTATGGTAATATCTCTACTGTTTAAATTTATTAAAATAATAATGTATTAACCTAATAAACAAGTAAGTTTTCTTTTTATCTATTTATTTGCACAGTACAGCCACATGATACATATTAAAACAATATTAAACTAAAAGAATAAAATTTTGATATGCATCAAAGTAATGGCGTACATAATATTCATTGAGAGCCGTCCATAAATTACGTCACAACAAAATTAATGATTTTTACCCCCCCCCCCTTCCTGTCAACTGTTTGTCTACACAAATTCTACTAAATATTGTTCTGATGACTCCTTGTATCAAAATTTTTCTTAAGCGCATAGTTAATATAATAAATAAAAATATTATTTACTAACATAAGATGTTAAAAAATATTTTTATTTATTATATTTGATCAATTTTGCATAAACAATGCTGTACAGAAAAAATATTCTTAATGAAAAATGCTTAAAAAATCCTCAGTGGTTTTTTTTTAAACATTTTTCGTTGTTTTTTTTATTTTATTTTTTTCTTATATATTGATCATGTCTGTCTGTTTGTCCGTCCGTACGTATGTCTGTAGAGCTTCAAAGTCACAATGGTAACATTAATTATTTGTTAGTAAAGTATTATATTAAAAAAAAAACTGCAAATTGTACAATGTTATTTGTATGAATGCTACTGCCCACGTCGTCCGATGGCGGTCGCGTGAGTACGACAAACAGTATTCGATATTAGCACCAGTCGCTGAGGGAACGCCATCGGGGCGTTACTCTTATTATTGACTAAGTGCTATAATTCTATGTTTGCTACCGTAGTAATTGAAAATTATACTGTTCTCATTTATGTTTAGAATGACGTTTCGCAATTCGGAATTAACACACCACCACAGTTGAAACTTGGTAGGTAAGTTTATTTTGTGATCTGTTTAACTATTTTCATATGGAGAAAAGAAATAAAGGGTTCCCCAAACGTTGAACGGAGTCATGTTTTTCTTATCAAAGCTATAAAGCTAAAAGTCTATAGATAGATCATTAGAAATAAAATTAAGGTTTCTAAAAAACATTTTTTTCTCAAACTCAATTTTAAATCAAGTCAAGTTTGAAAAACAGATACTTCCAAAGTGGTAAAATGTGTTTATCCCGCCCCCTCTAACGTTTACAATAAAAGAGTGGGAAACTAAAAAAAAAAAATCTGCAGGTAATCAATAAAATATACCTTTTTGATTTAAAAAATCCACATAATAATATATCTTCAACATTCATACAAACACTATGAAAAACAAACAATTTTTTTCCTAATCTATGCTTTGGTTTCCTAATCCTAATTTTTATTGTCGAAGTGAAAAATTGCACTTACAAAGAAGTATGAAGTTTGGCACAGTTATTGTTTTCTTGGGAACAACATTTATTCGGCTAATATTAATGAATAAATGAGAAAATTTATATTTAAGCTAAACATATATATTACCTTCTTCCTTTAGTTTATCAGCAGCAGCGACGGCCTCGTGTAGAGTGACTCCGGCGCCAATCAATAACACCTTGTCTTTACCAGACTCACGGACTACTTTAGCTTGACCCACCTAAATATAGATAATTACAATACTTATTACTCGTACTAATTAACAAGACACCCGAATGCCTATTCTAATTTGTCAAAATTGAAATTTCGTATATATCCGAAATGCGAGCATTTGATGTACCGATAATTCTCATAGATATTATTTTGACAATATTGTAAAAAAAAGAAACAATATTATCCGAATTTCATTTGGTATAATTTAATTTAATAATCAACCTGTTTCAAATAACTAAAAATTATTAATGCAAATATGGATATCGGGTTTTTTTCCTGGTAGTGTTTTATATAGTATTACCAATATTCACACTTTTATGCTTATTATATTTAGGATAAATATTTAATTAATATTTAAAACTTTTACTAATATTTTAAATATTTCTTTTTCATAAAAACAAATATTTTATACTCGTTGTCACTTGACCGCAAATAGCGCGTGACGTCACACCCCTCTTACTCATATCTGAACTTAAGAGAATTCAACCTTATGCATACATAGAACGATATTCGTTTTAGAGAGCCGTGACGCCATAACAGAAGGGGCGTTTTCGCGGGAAATTTCGAAAATTAAAATTATTTTAAAATTTTAACTCATTATACGATTGATTTTAGATATATTTTATGTGTATCTATGAAATAAAGATATAATAACTTTTCAAACCCCTGCTACGTATAAATTTATTTACCTTGAAGGGCTCATCATTGGGATAGAGCATGGAAGTATTAGGTCTGGATGTGCGAATGTAGCAGATGCCTTTAGTGTTCGCTGCCAACTCTACAGCACGTTCAGTTGATACTGCATCTCTGTAATATATTTCCTTATTTATTAAATTTAATTTGATCAAACCTAATGTTAGACACTTTCATATATATATACATACATGATATAGGGTCAATGACTTAACCAAGGGTCTTAATTTAAGTACAAAAAAAAATTATTGAAAATCAATGTAACTTGAACAAATACAAAGATCAAAAGACTTTAGGTCTTGTCGACTCAATCGTGATTCTGTTTTAACATGCATATTTAAATTTATCTTTTAATGACATACAAATAAAAAGATTTAATTTTCGGTGTTTTTGATTGACCAACATTCTTTCTTTAACTAAAATTTGTGTATATGATTCTGAACTATTGTTACAATAATACATTCACCCAATAGTAAATATCTTTTTGTAATTATTACCGAAAAAATATCTTTTTTTTTTTTGTTTTTTGTATCTTTTAATCGGGATTTCTAATGCCAATAGGGAGTAACGCTGAGAAAGCACTGCAATTAATCGCAAATCTGATTCAAAAATGTATAGTTTTGTTTTCAGCTTCACCTAAACATCGTGTTTAAACACAATGCAATCTCAACCTAAAAGAGAATAATGACATATAATATTGATATTGGTTACTGACGACGGATAGAAGACAGTAGCGGTGGGCACGGCGCGGAACAGAGCTAAATCTTCAAGGCCCATCTGCGAGGGACCATCCTCTCCGATGCTGACGCCGCAGTGGGAACCGGCCAGGTTAATGTTAGACTGACTTATGGCACCCATGCGGATCTGTACACACAAAATCACATATGGTCAATAAAGTGACACCCGAAACAGTTCAAACATAATAAAGAGAAATAATACAGTTTTATTCAAATTCTTGGATAAAGAATTTGAAATGACACCGAGTCAGCTCTTTCGAACCTTAATGTCGTAACATAGAGCCACTTAAGTATTATTTAAACTATTTTATATTGTACTTGATATAATTAACATTTCCTTTTTTTGTATTTTTTCAAAAGTTACAAATGCATGAAAATAATTTTACAGTCTTGTCAAAACCTCTGGTCTACGTTGGAACAGTAAGGGCATATAAATTATCTAAGTATTTCTCATAAATATCAACAAAGCGTTTTCTATAAGCTGTAGAGCTTCAAAATTTCAACGGTAACATTTATTATTTTTTACGTAAAGTGTTATATTAAAAAAAACTGCAAATTGTACAATATTATTTGTATGAATGCTACTGCCCACGTCGTCCGATGGCGGTCGCGTGAGTACGACAAACAGTATTCGATATTAGCACCAGTCGCTGAGGGACGCCATCGGGGCGTTACTCTTATTATTGACTAAGTGCTATAATTCTATGTTTGCTACCTAGTTATTGAAAATTATACTGCCGGATACGTATGACGAGTCGGCCCCCAAATGGGAATCGATATTGAAACTTATGTTTTAATATCGACTTGATGTTCAAACACGATTTATGTACTTTTCGCGACCGACTTCCGCTTTGACCTTGAGATAGAGAGCAAAATATCCGTATGCTTGACTATTACTGAATGTGATATATCTCTAAAGCTAATTAAGATAAAGAAGTGAAACTAACGCGAGGTGTTAGGTTACATTACAGAGTATATCACATATATTTTTTTATAATTTTTAGAATAAAAAAATACATTAAAAAAATAAAAAATAAAAAAATCATGTTTTTTTTTCTGAGTTCTCTGTGACTTACAATCACGAAATTAATATATGTTATGCTCCTTTGTGTGCTCTATTACCCATAAAAATTGCGTGAAAAAAAAGTTGGTGCAACACAACGAAAAAAAATTATATGTGATTTCTGTCTTATGGTATACCCCTGTATTATAAGGTTTTCACATTACATCATTGTTTTTTTTTTCGAAATTTCACATCAGCTTGTTTTAAAACATAAGTAACTAGTCTTAAGAGATGGGATAATAGTTAAAAAAGAAATGAAAAAAAAAACAGCCAGTGTTCAATACTCATTATTATTACTTTTTCGTGTCTATCAAAATACAAGAAACAAAATATTAATCATCGTCACTGTTGTAATTAATTACAATCGGAACACTTTGAGTCGCAAATAACTTAGTTAGGACCTCAGCAGGACGTACGATTTTGGACAAATATCATCGATATGATAGATAATAAATAATAGCTGCTACATGAGAACAGCATCCCACTGTACGTTTGCCATTGGGGCAATCACAGCAATAACGAAGAATACTATTGTAGTCATTACCTTCGGAAATATAGTGAATGTAAATTCGATAGACTTTTCTATTTATATGTCTTGATTTTACTTCTGCTTTGATGATATTAGGTGCTGATTTCACATATTGTACTGAGAGATTATTTTGATCGTCCATTATTTCGGCCAAGTTAAATGCTGCACATTTAGAAGTAGAAGCTTTTTTGTTAATATATGGGATAAGTCGACACTTCTTACAAAAAATATCATTAACTATTACGATTTTATTCAAACAGTCACTAAACACTTTAGCTTCTTCTTCATTCTTTATAATTTTTTTATAACCTCCTGGTTATCTTGGTTATCCTGGTCTCCGGAATCTTACACAGGTACTTGTTACAATTTTTACACTTTCTCGACATTATTACTTAATAATGATTTGGTTCGATAGTTAATAATTTCAAAATGCTGATACAAAATACCTATGACAGAATTTGAGTCCCAAACTGCCTTCTTGTGTAATACAAATGACTGCTACTTTAGCTAAACAAACGATGCAGTAAACAGCTCGATAACAAGTTCGAACTTGTTTGTTTATACACTCACACTACAAGGCGCGAATCACATATAATTTTTTTCCGTTGTGTTGCACCAACTTTTTTTTCACGCAATTTTTATGGGTGATAGAGCACACAAAGGAGCATAACATATATTAATTTCGTGATTGTAAGTCACAGAGAACTCAGAAAAAAAAACATGATATTTTTTATTTTTATTTTTTTAATGTAATTTTTTATTCTAAAAATTATAAAAAAATATATGTGATATACTCTGTAATGTAACCTAACACCTCGCGTTAGTTTCACTTCTTTATCTTAATTAGCTTCAGAGATATATCACATTCAGTAATAGTCAAGCATACGGATATTTTGCTCTCTATCTCAAGGTCAAAGCGGAAGTCGGTCGCGAAAAGTACATAAATCGTGTTTGAACATCAAGTCGATATTAAAACATAAGTTTCAATATCGATTCCCATTTGGGGGCCGACTCGTCATACGTATCCGGCTAACGGATAGTTGACTATTATAATAACTCTAGTGCGTATACCTGATCGAATGTCCTCGTGAAGAAGGCGGCGAAGGTGGACGCGAACACGACGGCGCGGTCCCGGCACGCCGCGCCCGTCGCCACGCCCACCAGGTTCTGTTCCGCTATGTAACACTCTATGTATCTGCATAACAAACGGACACAAATACTGATTTAATCTAGTCTATATTTACAACGAGCTTTCCGTCTTGTATTATACATTAAAATCTTCCTTTTGAATCACCCTATCTATGAATAAAAACCGCATCAAAATCCGTTTTGTAGTTTTAAAGATTTATTTATTTATTTATTAGGTAACACAACAGACATTAATCAAAATATAAATGAAATAATAAGTAAAAACTGTGTAGTACTAAATTAATATCCTAAAGGTGTTTACACAATGAGATATGATAAAGAAAAAAAAAACAAACTATAATTATTATTTTTACTAATATGAAAGAAAACAGAAAGAATGAGTATAAATCAATCTGGATGGTTAAAAAGATTCGACATTTAGGTCTACCACAACTTTCCCAATACATTTTTTGAATTTAAAGAGATTGGCATTAAATATGTCTAATGCCTGATTAACTGGGAGGATCTCATTATAATTTCTGCACATACGAGCGATGGGATTATGAAAAGATATGTTATTTCTATATGTCGGTATGACAAAAGTTGGTTGCCTGCGCCTTGGATTATATTTTAGTTAAGTTAGTTTTAAAGATTTAAGCATACATACGGATAAAGGGACAGAGACAGCGACTTTTTTTTATACTATATAGTGATACGGGTGTAGACAGTGAACGAAAATTAAATACATTTTCTTTTTTTCGGTAGTGTTTATATTATTATTACCGATAATCACACTTCAAAGCTCGTTATATTTATAATATTGCCTTAAACTAATCATGAAAAACAAATATCAAATACAATAACAGCATGCGATGCCCAGCTCCTCTTTTTCATATTAGAACTTATAGAATTGAACCTTATGCATACATAGAACGATATTCGTTTCAGATCGTTATAGCGTTATAGTGACGCCATAACAGAAGGGCCATTAAATTTTGAAAATTAAATTAATTTTTAGATATATTTATATAATAAAAATATAAAAAAGTTGTCTGTAGCCTAATATTTTAATGACGCTGATACTTCCTTGTCATAATAGCAAAAAGTATTTAGCAAGATATATTAAATAATATACTGGAATGTAAAAATAAGTTTTAATTTATGTCAAATGTACATATAATATTGCTTTGTTTACTTTAATCACAGATTTTATAATAACTTTACTTATATTATACTTAATGAATTACTTTACGCATAGTGATAGGTTATTGTTAATGAGAAAGTATTTTAAGAAAAAAAAGAAAGCCCTAATAAAGCACCTCACTAGATGGCGACTCTACCAAAAGTAGATTTTTGCAGGAAACGAATGGACCAAAGATAGTTATTTCCGTTCCTTTTAACTAATATATTAAAAATTGAAATTTGTAAAAATTTCGAACCTTAGATATCAACACAAATACGAAAAAGTACATATAGAATATGAGTTGTTTATGGAGTTTTGAAAATTAATTTTATACATGAAAGAATACCGGAAGGGTTGTCATGGAGAAATCAAGAAAGTACCGTAGCGACATCTAGTTTGATTTAATGTTTTTATTTGAATACTTCCTCATTAATTTAATAAGTCCTTTGTTTTGCCCGACATATAGGTTAACCTAGTTCAGGCACATAAAAATATTTTTTCTTTAAGCATGTTTAGCATTTTTATGTAACTAAGCTTATACGATATCAATAAATAATTATTATTATTATAAATATAAATACAGTACATATTGTTAGCATTTTCAACCTTTCTATAGCGCCTTAACAGGCTAGACTGGCCTAGATTTTGATAGGGTGTAGCGCCATCAATTGTGTAATTTTATAATTGGCTTAAGTGCTATTACTTATGTAAGTCGTTTTAGCTATTGTAAACGAACAGTTGAGTCACCATGCTATCAAGCTCCTCGTTATCAACACACACAAATTCTAAATATGACAATTGGTAATATACGACATAACTCACCTATCAGGGTATGCGTTGCGGAGTTTGTCGCTGAACGTTGAATTTTTGGTATCGCCATCGAGAGCTATTACACTGTAAATAAGAACAAAAATGTCATATGGCACAATACAAAGACTACAAGAATAATTGGACCTTATGCTAAAAGCAATAACAATTAAACTTTATTTTCCTCTAACGCATATTTTTACAATGAAAATGGATAAATATTGTGAGTCGGTTGATAGTAAAGGTTTAACATGTAAGATTAAAAGTAATAATATGGTACCTATAAAAAAAAAACGAAACTAATCAGTTTCTGTCACATAAAACGCCATCTGTTGGCTTCCATCGCATCGAGTTAGAATTTTTACTAAACCAAAATAACGCAACCGTTTAATAATTTATACTTGTATTCATGTTTTTCTTTGTGGTGTTAAGTGTTAATTTATTCATTCACCATTTTTTGACTGCATTTTTACACAGTTGTGTGACATTATAATTAACAACAAATAAACTATTGAATATTTCAAACGCTATAGAGCTAAAACAAAAGCAGAAAAAAATATAGAAAATATCATAAACTCTACCAATTAAGTAGTTTACTTTTTACCAAAGAACTTACCGCATGTTCGTATCCGCAATCTTTTTTAAAGCAGTGCCGTAAGCGAGACGGGTGGCAACTTGTTCACCCGGCTTGTATGATGGAGGTGATGAGAGGGTGATATCACCGATGTGAACTTTTGGTGCTTCGGCCAATGGCGGGGAAGCTTTGAGGGATACCTTGTTGTTCTTAATTTGAGACTGAAGGTGCTGTGATAAAAAAAAAAATAGTGTCAAATAAATAAAACCAATATTTGTTTTTGTTACATAACTTGCTTTGTCGTGATAAACTTTAAATAAATATATAAATAGGTTTTACTTTAAGTACAGTAATATGCAACTGATGCGGCTCACTAATGGTTATTCAAATAAGACTCGGTGTAAAATTTTAACCGTAAGTTCAGTTACCGGAATTTGTAGCTCTATTCTGCGCAAACGAAGATTCATCGTGTGCTACATTAGTCAGAAGCTCCTGTACTTGCATTATGAAAACATTAAAATTTAGACCAACTGCGTTAGTGTCTAATGAAATTTCAAACTGTAATATTTTTTAAAATATAAATTGTATAATGTTATTTGTATGAATGCTACTGCCCACGTCGTCCGATGGCGGTCGCGTGAGTACGACAAACAGTATTCGATATTAGCACCAGTCGCTGAGGGAACGCCATTGGGGCGTTACTCTTATTATTGACTAAGTGCTAGTAACCCTGTGTATAATTTTTTTTTTTTGTTAAAATAATCTATCAATTGTGATTCGGAATTAAACAAAATGATTAGCCTATGAGTAGTGACAAGAATGTATTAACCTCAAATGTATTTGTTAATATGGATATGACTCCAGGGTCAGGGGATTATAACTTATACATAGAAGTATAAAACATTTTTTATATTTATATAGCTTTTTTTTTAATTCAATAAGGCAGTAATTAACCTAAACTAGTGCTAAGGACTAAAATTACTATTCATAGATTATTCCATCTCACCTTAATGATTTTCTCGCCCTCAGCGCCCAAAGCTTTTCCGTGCCAGTTCTCCAAATCCTCGATACCCGGAAATCCTCTACCCTTGAAGGTCTTAGCGATTATGGCGGTGGGTTTTCCAGATGTGGTGGCCGCCTCGTCGAATGCCTTCACTAGTTCAGAGACATCGTGACCATCCACGACCAGGGAGTGGAAGCCGAATGACTTGACACGAGCGTCGTAAACATCCAGCTGATATAAAAATGATTTTATCCAATCAGCAAATTGATTTATTTGACAACAATACTGTATAAATATAACAATTATGGAAAAATAGTTTAACAAACGACACATTTAACGATAAAATTTTCATTTTTATCGGATGGTAATGATAGAAGCCATAAAAATTGTTATTAAAGTCGAGAACCAAAAGGTGAAGAGACCATGCATTGTGCCGCTTAGTTCTCTCTGTCTAAGGGTAGCCAGAACTTACGTCACACGAATTTTAGTCACAATCGATTTATAATACATATGACTGTTCCTACGTGTAACGATGACGCCACTTTGGGTTACATAGATATTTTTATTTTTAATTATTATTATTTTAATTGTTATCATAGGTCATTTAATCGACAACAATTTCTTTGTGTGTTCAGACGCGTTGTTATAGCTAGCTAACAACTCATATTATTTTTGTGTACTTATTATCAGTGGTCGGAATTAGGTAGAGTTATTCATGTACTTACACTGATTTCATACAGCGAAAGAATAAAGTGGATATGCCTCAAATCCCGAGATTAATTTTATAGAGCAGAAAAAATCCCGTGATTTTTTTAATAAAAAGTTATTTACTTTTACACAATTTAAACTACGCACGACGTTGCCAAACTTACATCAATGAAAGAAAGAAGAAATAAAGAAATCCCGGGAAGGTCCACATTAATATCAACATTTCAATGCAAGTACATAAATAACTCTACCTAATTCCGACCTCTGCTTATTATGTTATTAGCACTGATAATAAGTGATCTCCCTCTCTGTGTGAGTTGTTTATATTTGTTGTTTATTTTCCCATAGTTGTTTTAAGTTATAGCTTAAACTTAGTATGGCACCACGACATGGCACTTAGTATGGCATAGCTTACACTTAGGTTATTATAGCTTTTTAATTGACGTCAGAGCTCACTGTCATATGACACGTGGCTATTTTTTAGATGACTGCCTAAAGAAGTGTATAATAACAAATGCGTACATCAACTATACATATACATTTTATTTCTAATAAATATATGTATAATTAATTACACTTTTACGTTTATGGAAGCCACATAAGGTAACATTACTATAATTTCTGTCTGTCAATTATAAAGTACTATTCCTGCATTTGTTCTTTATAATTTATCATTTACAAAATGCATAAATTTTATATGGCAATGGCTAACAAATTGCACACATTGCATCTGTAGCCGAGCTAGTCGATACTAGCATCCTCCTAGCATGTTTAGTATTGCCACAATAAAATTGGAATCTATTAATATGTAACCATTAGTTATAATGTTGTATTGAACATAAATGTGCATTCAAAATGGAATACACAATATTACAAGTAATAATACATTTATATAAATCGTTATCAATGATACGAAAACGGCTTTCCTTTGTGTTATGATAACCTTGTATGTGTATAAACTACTAAACTTCAAGTAGAAGATAAAAATAATAAATTTTTGATGACCAATCCGATAGCAAATCTGTGCGTGGAAGATGATTAACATTAACAACCGCAGACCGAACTGCGCCATCGAGATTCTCGTTTACCTGGTGCTGCAGAGAAGTGGGCTCTGACTGTCCGAGGCGGTTGACATCGAATATAACCACCAAGTTATCTAGCTTGTAGTGGCTGGCGAAGTGCAGTGATTCCCATACACTTCCTTCGGCCGCCTCACCGTCACCAACCAAACAGTATACTCTGAAAAATACACTTGAGTGTCAATATGTAATTTTTATACAAAAAAATATTAATTTCTAACTGCAATTTCATACAAAAGCGTCATCTTTTTTTTATAAGTACATTTCTACTAACAAGTAGGGCGATGAGTTGAGAATTAAGACTTATCCTATTGCAATCAAATGGGGGGTTATAGGGTTATATTTTTGGAATATTATTTATATTCTATTAATAATATTTATCAGGGAAGACAAAAACCTCCTAAGTGCAACAGTTGCTCGTCCACTAAGGGTTCCATAATTATATGGAACACTTAGGGGGCAAAAAAATTTTTTTATTTTGATTTTAGTTATTTTTTTATAGCTTTTTGTATTTGTTGTTAAAGAGGCGACAGTAATACATCATCTGTGCAAATTCCAACTGTCCAGTCATCAAGGTTCATGAAATACCAACCTGTTGATAGACACAAGACTGACAGCAGTCTCAGTAACAGAGTCCCATTTTTACCCTTTAGGTAAAGAACCATAAAAATTTAAAGAAAGGTGACAATACGATTTTTTCTTAAATTATATGATTATCAAAGGTCATGACCATTTTTGTTTGTAAAGGGAAATCTAAAAATATAATTACCTGTATGGAGCCTGGTCGAAGTATTTGCCAACGTACGCCATGCCAGCGGCTACAGCCAAGCCTTGACCGAGTGATCCGGTGCCTACATCCACGAAGCTCAGTCTGGGAGTCGGATGACCTTCAAGGTCTGACTCTAGTTTACGCAAGTTCTTCAGGTCTTCTACGGGGAACAGACCGGCTTCAGCCCATGCCGCGTAAAGGATGGGAGCAGCATGACCCTAAGCAAAAAAATGGGATATAAATACTCATGTCTGCAATTAAAAATCAAATATTGCTAAACAACTCATTTTATCAGCCTAATAATGTGCTGCTGGGGCACAGGCTACAAGTTTTTTTTACACACAAAATTGTCTTACCTTGGACAAAATGAATCTGTCCGCTGAAGCATCTCTGGGAGCTGACACCTTGTACCTCATGGTGTGGAAGAACAGGACAGACATGATCTCCGCCATAGACGCACATGATGTTGGGTGACTGGAGACAAATAGAAAAACGTATTTAAAAGACATACTCTATGTAGTTCTTATCGGCGACGGGCACATCTAGGTAGGGCGATAGTAACGGGTGCACGGAATGCCTTACTCATATGCGATACACCAGTCAGGAGTTACACATTTATAAAGTGTATATTTAGTTATTTTTGTTTTGTTATAATAACGATTCACACTAAATAGTGCTTGCTGGTCTACCTCAATGACGATTCCTTGCTAGACAAAAGTTACATTTATCGCAACACTTTAAGTTTTATTACATTGTAATAAATATTAGACAAAATCACAGATATAGCTAAGATTACAAGATGAACGGCTAAAGAAACTCTTATAATAGACTCTCTGAAACTACGAAGGTACCATAACACCCGAACCAGGGATATATATTATAGTTCATTTTCTATATTGACCCCGACCGGGAATTGAACCTGGGATCAGCGTGCGAGTCTACAGAGGTCATCATAGGTCATCACGAAACTATTTTCGGCAAATGTGAAAGTAGTTTCGCAAGGGTGTGCGAATCAACAGTATCTCTTGAGACCCTGGATCCTACGTCAACATACAAGCTTTACGTGAAGGTTTTTCTTTACTACGTACTCGTATATGTAAATTAGGCTGTTACTGTACTACAAAATGAGAAAACTATATCTATGTTCTATAAGAGCTTGTTGACTCGTCTCCTTTGGTCGGTAATTGTATATCTTTTTTATGATGTTTTTACATGCTATTACATTTTATCAACACATGAAAAATTTATAATTCAATTACGCAACAAAAACTTTGCGCCAATGTCTGAAATTTATATGTTTAAGTCACCTTCAACTTCTGTTCAAAGTTAAGAATATACCTATGTTGATTATGATTTTACATAACCAGTACATGCTCTTGCGAGTGTCAGATGACGCACATGATAATAATACCGTGAACAGAACTATATTACTTACTATTAAAAACATTATTTGACTAGATTAGTAACGATTATATTACACTGAAGCTTATTCCAATCGAGGCAAAATCTTTATATCTATATATGTTTTTATAACCAAGGGTATTCACTATAAATTTCATATCAGCTACTATTAAAACACACACACACACACACGCACACGTACATTCTCATATTTCTCCCTTTTTCTTATTTTCTAAAAATATAACTTCTAGTTTCTGTTCTGATTGCGACATCAAAACACATTTCTTTTTCATTATATTTTGCTTCTTTTGATAATAGTTTCGCTTCAAACCCAATACAATATTTTCAGAAGACAAGAAATTTTCTGATTATTTACAGAAACGATATTCTGTGAAGCTTGGAACGGCAATTTTATTTTTTGTGTTATAATCGCTAACGCTACTTAAACAGACCTTAAAACAACTCATAGACATCAGGCTCAGAAGCAAGGTCGACCTATAAAGTTCAGCAATTGTGTCATCTTCCTTTTTGAAAAATAGGATAACACTCTCACACTCCATGCTTTGTCGTGCTGCCCTCGAGGATAATACAATTAAATAAAGCTTGATCACGTCCGCAGGCTTTGGCCCTTTGTTACCCTGCACGTGTCCCCCGGGTGGCGCCAACGAGCAGCAGAGGGAGCCTGTCAGGCGTCCTGGACTTATTCCGGGTAGCGGCTGACGGGCTGGGAGGAGGAGGGTTCGACCCCTTCGGGTAGGTCGTTGTTGGCCCTTTTCAGGGCCGTCGTGAGGTGCGTAGGGGGGCGGTAAGACCCAGTTTCGGGTCGCGCTCTGGGGTGTTTCCCTTTTAGGGAGTCTTGTGAGGAGAGGTTCTGGGTCGGCGTCCTGACCGTATGTCAGGTAGCGGCGACGCAGTCCGGGCTGGACGGGCGTCTCGGGAATGACCCGAGTAGCGGCCGTGCTAGCGAGGGCGGTGGGCCTGCCGTGTCGTGGTGCCACGAGCGGTGGGTGTCCTTTTCAGGGCAACTACCGGCCGACCCGTTACCCCGCGCTGAGCGGGGCCGGGGGGGCTTACCTTTGCTGGGCGGTCCTGTGTGGGGATAACCACGTTAAAAAGTCACCAAGCCCAAGTTTGCCGTGGGCGAGGGGATGGGTGGCAGCTGGTAGAGCTGTCGTTACACGGCCTCTGGAGGCGGGGACCAGCCGACCCCCGCCTTCACAACCCTAGGCTTACCCGGGCATGGAGCCTCTGCTCGGGTGGACCTATATTTGCTGCCACACTCGTGGGACTAACATGGAGAAAACTAACATTAAAACCAAAAACTTAGCTGAGAGGGGGCCTAGCTCAGGCGGAAGAGAGCGGACTAGCAGTCGAGATGATGTTGCAGGCATGTGGAACTCAAGTGAGATTCTTGGAGTGATGGAGAGGATGGCTTCGAGTCGTGATGATTGCGAGGACTTGATGACCAGGATTCCCCCAAGAGTAGAGGAAATTACCAGGGGCGAGAAGGAGCACCTTGAAAACCTAATGGAGAAGAGGGATTTAAAGGAGCTTCATGACAATTGTCTGCTGCTCCTTACCAACCACATGGAGGACCAGACGGACCACGGCAAGTGCTATGAGTATTGCCACCGGAGTCTTGTAGAAGGACTTACCCTTATAGAGCGGCTGAGGGAAAGTGCTACCAGTCTCTTTAGGGAAGGGGAGGCACTGAGGCTCGAGGTGGAGTCGCTGAAGCGAGGTGATGGGAAGATGACTGTCGGGTCCGTCTGTGATGTAGTAACGCAGACTGACGCGGCCGATTGCAGAAGGAGCAGGACGACGAGTACTCAGACACCGGCGATCTTACCCGGTGCCCCTAGAGTGACTCGCCCTGCGCCTATGTTGATGGACAAACAATCTGTGCCAGGGGCTTCTCGTAAGCCGAACACATCTGAGGCACCCAAGGCTCCTCCTGGGGAGTTGAGCCAGGGTTTGAGCTGGGCACAGGTTGCTAGGAGGGGTAAAAGGAACAGGGAGGGTGCTGGCAACAAGGAGACGAACACTGGGGCAATAAAGCCCCCTGCGCCGGTGGTTGCGCAGAAGCCGCCCCTTTCTCATAAGAAGAGAGGAAGACATAAGCCTAGAGTGCCAAACACCACTGCAGTGGTGATATCTATCCCCCCTGAGGCGGAGGCCAGGGGGGTGACGTACGAGAGGGTCCTGGCGAAGGCCAGAAAGGAGATTGCACTCCCGGAACTGGGTATTCCGGGAGGGGTTAATATGGGGAGGACAGCGACGGGGGCTCGAATTCTGAAGGTGCCTGGAGCTGATAGCGGGGTGCAGGCGGACCTGCTTGCATCTGAACTGAGGAGGTGTCTGGGTGACTCTGTTGAAATCACAAGACCGGTCAAAAAGGTCGATATGAGAGTGACCGAGCTCGATGACTCGGTCACCTCAGACGAGTTGAAGATGAAGCTTGCGAGGCAGGGCAATTGCCCTCCGGAGCAAATTGTGATGGGACCCATCGTTGAAGGCATTGGGGGCCTTAACACGGCTCTTTTGAGGTGTCCTGTGGCGGCGGCGGATACTCTAGCCAAGAGTGGACGCCTGTTGGTCGGGTGGACATCCGCCCGGATACGACGCCTGGAACCCCTACCCATGCGCTGTTTTAAGTGCATGGGGACGGGGCATGTGCGGAGGGTCTGCCCCTCCAAAGAGGATCGCTCTGGAGTCTGCTTCAGGTGCGGCCTGGAGGGGCACAAGGCGGCGTGCTGCCGTGAAAAGGCGCGATGCGCAGTCTGTGCTGCAGCATCCTTGCCGAGCGGTCACGTGATGGGGAGCAAGAGGTGCTCTCCACCTTCCGTACGGGCACGGTCGGTTCCCGTGCCCCATGGTACTCGTGCGGTACCGGCTGAGGACCTCCCTGAGGTGATGGACACGCACTAGCGTGCTCATCTCTCTCGGGGGGGGGACGGCTGGAGCGGCTAGCAGTCGACTGGTTCCCTGGCAGGGTTACGTCTGCCGGGTGCGCCTGTGTCGCTGCTAGTGAGAGGTACATGGGGAGTCGACCTGCGTTTCGCAGGTAAGGGGATTTCCTCTGTGGCCCCGGTATGGGTGCCCGGCTCGGCCACCACACACACCGCTGGTGTGTGTGGCGGCCGGTCCGGGCGGTACCATTCCGGGGCCGCGCAGAGAGGAGCGGCGGAGCCGGTTGATGAGGCCTGATAGCGCCCTTTTCAGGGCTGTGGTCGGGCCGTACTCCGGTGGTAGCCGCGACCGTACGGGGGGAGGGATCTACGATAAGGGCTCTGCCTGTGTGGATCCTTCCAATAGATGGGAAAGAGACTAGAGATTGCACAGTCGCGCATCTCTAGTCCCTAGTCGGGGGCAGCTGGCTGGTTTGCGCACTGGCCGGCATTGCACGTCTCCGCCCTGTCTGGGGGGGTACGTCTCGAATGTCTCTGAGATGTGCCGCCCAACCCGCGAGGGACCTGCCCTTTTCAGGGCGGGCCGAAATGGGGGCGAACCGCGCGGTGTATGGCCTCCGGGCCGATCCCGTGCATCGCCTTCCATGCGAGGGACATCGCTGAGTTTTAGTGGGTAAACTTCTGTTTCTTGTCTAGCCCCTTCGGGGGTGGGGCCACAGGAGGAGTCCCACATAACCCGTGGAGCCCGCGCTGGGTGAAACGGGTATGCGTAACGCATTTCTCAGCGTAGGACTTTAAGCATTGGTTTACACCCGCCACCTTATTGTCATTTAGTTGCTTAGGAGCCGTTATAGACAAAGCTTGTAAGCTAGGCTCGTCAGCCTTGCTTTCAGCCAGTGTTCGGCTTAACTGTTCCTTCTCGATCTCTCGACTTCTACTACGATACTTATATCCGAACATAGGGAGTGTCTACCACAGGGTTCGCTGATAAATATCAACGAATCGATTGATATATATCAATTAATATTTATGTTTATTTTTAGAGTATTGAGTTGGAGCTATAAAATTAATTGATCTGATGTGACAATGGCAATAGTAGCCTGAATTAGCAATCTTACTAGAAATTTTGGGTTTTCCCCGTAATATGAACGCGAAGTGGGAACGGTCGGCCTTTTATTATTTTTTTTTAATTTAATGCTTATTTTCACGTAATAAGGTTTATTATAATAAGTGTTCCCCTATACGATACTGAAAATCCTCGTACGCATACTAGTTTTTATTGCTTTATAATGAATTATCAAATATTAAACAAACCAAACCTCAATCTTTATATTAGAATTTTAATTAAGAATATTAAATAAAGCCAGTGGCTTTAAGCCTCTAGCAGCTTACAAATCGCAGCTTTTCATATTTTATTTTGTTTTCAAAGGTGAATCAACAGTTACATTAAATTAAATAAAAAACAATAATAAAAAACAGAGAACCAATCGTAGACTCATATCCATGATATATATCTGTTCAATTCATCTATATATCTGATAAATGCCAGATATTGGATATTTTGATATTGATTATAAGTAATGGATTTTTACGAACCCTAGTCTACCACTATGCTGTATAGATGGTGCACAACTAAATTGTCCTTAAGGGCTCGAAGCGGATCTGAAGCTTGAGTTGAAAGTTTTTGCGCTATGGGATTTGTGCAGTCATTAGTGAGAGCATAGATTTCAATGTGTGTATTGGCGAGGGGCATGAAATTCCATCTTAAAAAGAGGTTTAAAGTTAAAAAGCGATGTTGTTTCGTTGACAAAGATTGGTGAAATTGGCAGTTCATATCACAATAATAGAAAAGACTCTGTATTAAAAAAGTCGGAACTAAATACTTTCGATAACAGATAACATAAACTAATGAATATATTTCTAAGTAAAAAGTACAAACACAAATTCATGATCAATTCGTGAGCTTAAATCTTTTTATAAAATGTTTAAAGGCCTTTTATCTTTTCCCTCACTTTCACTGATTTTCCCTAACCATTTTTTATTTCCCTGATTTTCCAAAAAGTGGACACCCTGAAAGAAGTCTGTCTCATGTCCATCACAGCCTGAGGTGTATAAATTTTAAAAGCAATTTTTTGAAACTGGTTTTTAGTTATATTTAAATAATTTGTATTTCGGTTCAAACTGCTGATAATCATTTCTTATGAGCGTAATCACACTGCACCTTGACAAGATTTGTTCTTTATTCTCACTTTACTCCCTTTATGCAGAAAAGAACAGTTTTATTACTCTACCAGTCTATCAGAATGTACGTTAACATTGTTCATAGAGAACAGGACCGCATAATATTGTCATAGAGAAATAATAATAAATGACCAGATACGGTGACTGAAATTGAAATAAGAAGTGAAAGTCCAAACAAACAAATTTTCCAATTGAAAAGTATAGATTTTTAAACATTAGGACTTTTAACTCATTGAATTAAGAATAGAGGTGATATAAATAAAAAAGGCGATATCTTGAAATTATTAAAATAGATCTCATTATATACAACATTTATCGCACACAAATTAAATGGTTTAAGGTCAAACAGGTCATTGATTGCCAGGGAACACAAGGCAGTGCATCAAGATAGATGAATTAAAGTAGGTATGTTATTAATAAAAGTAAATTCAAGAAGAACCTATCAATTTAATAAGAGAACCTATCAATGGAACTTATGTGTAAAATTAAATTCATATTATAACTTTGTTTTGAGAAGATATCAACCAAATAATCATCACTTATTGTTAAGTTTTTTGGGAGATGTTAATATTAAAATTAAAATATTTCATAGGTAAATTGTATTTATCATTATTATATTCAGCATAATTTATTTTCATTATGGAAATCTATCTTAACCGGCTGAAGTGATATTAACTGGCCTATATGTCCGGTCCTATAACCGGTCAATGATTTCATTGATCAGTTTTATTTCAATATTACTACAGAATACTAAAACACTTCTAAAAACTACAAATGCAAAGTAACTAAGAATAAAAATATAGTAAAAAAGCTAAGGAAACTACATATCCATCCAATATCATGCAACATATTTTTGACAGAATTAGTGTTTATATTTAAACTTTCCACAGACCCAGTCTTTTTATTCTAAAGCAATGACAGAAACTAAATTAATTTCAGGTAAATTTAATTGGTTCATATTATTTATTTTTTCTTAGTCTAGAATGTTATAAGCGCTTGTGAAAGACAAAAACCCATCTGCAAACCTCTGGTGGAAGATCTTGTGCTAGACTGTACAGGCATGAAACTTTACAATATGTAAAATAACAAGAATGGTTAGTGAAATTTATTAATATTCTAGAGAAGGTGAGGCAGTAAACCACATGATTAACTTATATTTCCAAAGGGAACTAATCACCACACGATAAAAATAAAATATTCAATAAATAATTCAAATTTAATAGGCTAGACAAAGTCTACCTCTTCAAATAATATGACAATATGTCATATGAGAGATAAATAAATTTTTTGCTTGTCTACCAAGGTATATGAGTAATAGAATGGTATAGACATGATAAGTACATAAGTACTAACAATTATTAGTTCTCGTAAGCCTTGATCTTGTTGCTAAGCGATCACGTGGTCATCGTATACTATAACCTTAGTAGATGATTTATATGAATAATAACCATGGAAAACTATTTATTGCTTCGAAATGTTAAGTATCACGGACCTAACAGCAACGATTATAGTTTAAAAAATAGTAAATACCTCCCAAAATTACATACATAAAATTATACCGGCATGTTATTATAGGTTACTATTATTGAGATAAGGTTAAAAATTAATGCTTTAATAAATGATTATTTCAAATGTAAATGAAAACAAGAAACATGACATAAATATGTACATGAGGAATTCTAATGCGAATCCAATAAGAGAGAATCAAATTATAACCTTCATTAGACCTTTACAAAGCGTTTCCCATTGAAATGAGGTTATTACTTACCCGGACTTGGACGCGTTTGTGGCAACGATGCTGTCAATTCTTAGCTTATTAGCAATGTCTTTTAAAGCTTGAACATCTACGTTCTTGTCGCCTTTCATCTTGGAACAGTTTTGATGGATAGACTATTTATAAAAGACCGCGTTGCGTCCGGTCACTCACCCGCCGCTTATTTCAATGAATGAGAATTTGATTGTTTTGACAATGACAATTGCCAAGCAATGTTGCCAATGTTTCCCAGGTTATTCGATTACTCGATACATTAGTACCTTTTCTTTCGAATATATGATAGATATGTAAATAACAACTTTTTAATTTACATTTATTTCTATGTTGCGTTAATTTTTATCAAACTTATAAGAATTATTAGCTTTTTAGTCTCTCATATACAAAGTTTATAAAAACAGTGTACAGAAGATGTCGTAAAGTACAGTAAAAAGCTACGTTACGGTGCAATTAGTAGGTCAGAAGGCAGCACAGCTGTCAACATTTACTGCTTCATAAATCTCAAAATGGACAAATGGTAAAACAGCTATTCAATTAATTGCAAGTTTAATTTTACATTACCATAACAATTTGAAAGTTTTACGTAACCAGTATTGTTTAAAAATATTAACTAATGGAGTTAATTACGTGACAACATGAAACAAAGTCATTATTAATTTTTCACATTAATATCTGGTTTTAAATATTTTTTTTATATTGTGTTAGTGAGTAATAATATGGAATGCAATATGAAGTATGTCCTGCCTGAGCTCTAAATTATCAATAAAAGTAAAAATACGATTTGAAAGCTCAAATATTTACATTTAGATATTATTGTTTTATGTACTTACTATTAATATGTGTCCATCGCACAAATATTTTTTGTTTGTCTATCTATCTACATTTATTTTAATTTTATCATCATCATCCTATTTATCTACATTATTGAATCTATATCATAATTTAGTTTTTTTTTGTTAGCTTATTTCAAAATGAAAACGTAATTTCTACTATAAACAAAATAAAATCAAATCATGCATTACACACAAACATAACGATTTCTCACATTATATTCGATTAATCTGTTCTTGTTCAATACGGCCCCTTAAGAGCTCTATTTACGGTTTAATGACTGGTATCAAAAATGATCTTGTTGTTTGTAACGTTTTATCATTCTGTCTACCCTGTGTTATCTTAAATTACTTTTAAGTTATCTTATAAAACATTCCAAATTCGTAAAAATGCAAATCATCACCTTCATCATCACCAACCATGAAGCTTTTACTTTATCTTCATGTCACCAACCTATTTATGTCCCCTCTGCTGGGGCACAGACCTTCTCTAAGGATGTAATCGAACCAAATCGATGGGCCACGCATGCATGACCCAGTGTAGATTGATGTGTGATGACTGGTCATAGCGAAAGTTGCTAACCATTTAAATACCGTTTATTCTATAATTAGAAGTAGGTAGGCAATAAAATTAAGTTTTTAATATACAATAATTAATGTCTAGATACGTATATTGTTCTATCTAAACACGTTAAACAATAATTGATGAGGTACCGGATAGTTTGAAGTTTTGAACATAAGAACGCGTGGCCAACAGAACGCCTCTAAAAACAAAATGAGCAAAGTTTATGAAGCAAAAACTTGCAAACTGCAACCGGCGCGGCGTTTGATGTCCATCAGGATCTAATGTAACCTAGTAGTTGGATAACATATATAGTAGATATTATATGTTTAGTATTTTTTTCATTTTGTCACCTCTCGGGAACGTGATGCTTTAAAACTCTACCTCAGAAGTATTCTACCGTAAGACAAATCTAATACATAGGTACTTTTCAGGAAAGTTAAAAGAAAGTTTGATGTTTTCTGCAAAGAGTAGTTAAAACACTCGAATGAAACTTATAGAAAAATAACATTTATTGGTTACCAAACTTACATTTATTTCGACTACCTACCTTATGTACCTACCTCGAGTCCATAATTAGTATATTAATTATAGAGATATAAAGTTCATATTGGTGAACCCCAATTCTGGGCCGCCAATGTTTCAAATATATTTAAAGTGGATACTATGCATATGCAAACACGTTAAATAAAGATTTTGAGTAAAAACTCCTTGCTCTAACAGTTCAGCTTTGAAATGGTCTATGTTTCGTTTTCATATCTCATTTTTGTGTATTCTGTATGTTTTATGGAAATAAATTTTCGTCTTTTTTTTAATCTAATGGTAATTCCACATATCTTTGAGATCAATAATATTTGTTATCATATTTGTAACAGTTTTGTTTATATAGTGTTCTTTTTTGTTAGTAAGTGTTTACGTTGATAGCATGTGCAACTTTTAACTAGTTATAGTAACCTGTGGTTAACGGTGTTGGTTTTGCAATTATGAAACTGTGAACATCATATCTTAAATTATAACGCTATTGTAAAACTGTTTGTTGACCCAAATAAACTAAAAAAAATAAAAAATAATAGAGATTGTAACCCCTCAGCTCATTATAATTTCGCTGTACTTGTCATCCCACGCGGGACATGGTATAAGAATTAAAACAACAGAGTATCGTGCAAAAACATTTTACATCATCATCATAATATTTGAAAATGAGGCCACCTCGGTCCATTAAGCGTGCGAATAAAAAAAAAAAAAATCGGTCAGTAACTGGCGGAAATATCGATAAACATACATAAAAAATATACATCGCCGTCGAACATATAACCTCCTCCTTTTTATTTTGAAGAAGTTGACTCGTTCTACGCGCTCTCTCAAAAATGGTGTAGTATAAAGACGAAAAAAATAGATGATACCATCATTGGGATCAATTTAATAGTCAATAATTCAGACCTTAATAAGTACAAGTTGTGTAATTATAAATTCAAAACTCATAAAAAATAACGTTACCATTATTTATAACTTTTGTTATAAGTACGTATAGAATAACGGTAAGTGATAAATAAGATTTCATTGTATATTTTTTTCTGTTAGTGTTAATGCCGTCACGTTTTCACAAAAAATACGATATTTTACGAGTAAGTGCTCAATATTTGTTATGTGATGCGATGCGATCAAACGCTTATGATATTGTATTGATACAGAATACCGATCGCGTCGAATAGCGACAATATAACAACTTTATCCATGCACATATTCAACACCTAATAATCTAAGGGATAAGACAGATTATTGTCTGACTTGTATTGTTAATATCTTTGCAGAAGTTTACGATAAAACGAGGGTGGATATTCTAAATCGCGCTGACGAATCAGAATTTTCATGTCCGGCGGTCCGATTTTTTCAGGTCCGATATGTCAGGCCATATGTAGGTAATGCGCGCTTGTGCACTGTCAGGAATTTTACCGTCCGGAATTTTACTTTTCTCTATTCCGGACCGGTTTTTTCAGGTCCGTGATGGCGGCAATGAAAAACGTGTTTACGCTTGTGCACTGCTGTGTCCGAGATCCGGAAAATTCATAAGAAATAGGCTTGGGAAAAAATAATCGATTTGAATCGATATTTATTTCGGCAATATTGTTAATTTCCAATAAACTTATAATCGATATTTATTGTTGATTATAAAATGCTATATTTTATATGATGATTTAATACAGTTGGTATATGTCACTGCATATGCTTTGGAAAACTCGGTATAGTTCTAATTTGATCAGCATATGGTTCTAGTATCGATACTTAGCTAGATTTTAGAATCGTATTAAAAGTATCGATAGCTTAAGTAAGATAAATAAGTGTTGTTACGTTTAGACAACTGAACCCATCTAAATGGAAATTAATATAGTAAATAGACTTAACTTTAAGAAAGGACATAGGCTACATTTTATTGCGAAAAATAGGGGATGAAAGTTTGCCTGGAAATGTGTCATTATCCATTTTTTTTTAAACAATTGATAAGTATAGATAAATATTTGACAACAGAATTAATAATAAAGAATAAACAGAAGATTAACAAAAGTAATTAAGTGACACTCAATGTCTTTTTCGCATTTAATAAAATTTTAAATGTATTTTTTTGTCATTAATAAATTTAAAAAAAAAAAAGTATTCTAAGGGAATAATATTTCTGCTCAACGAAACTACACCACGCGTATAAAATTATGCCTATATATAATACAGTCAACTGATCTCGTAAAGTTCATTTAGCATAATAATTCTCCGCTAACACGGCACAAATTTCGATTTGTTTACGAAATGGCGCCACCGATTGGTCTATCTCTGTAATCGCTGAAAGTTGTTTTTACAAAACTTCGAAAAAAAATAGCACATTTAAAAATTTAAACATCAAGTACTAGACCATTATCAGTAATTTTATTCTAATGTCAGATATTTTTAGCTATTGTATGTGAATAATGCTGTTCCTAAATTAGTAAGGGTATAAGTTTTTACATCTGATAGTAGTCATCCGATAGTAGTAAAAAAAATGCTTTCGTCTTGCCATAATTTATTATGGTTTATGTAAAACGATCAGATCATTATTTAGGTACCTTTCTACGTCTTCGAACGGAATTACCAACGTTCCAAAAATCTCATCGTACCTAGCGTAAGTGACGTGTAGCTTCAAAGAGAGCTGCCCTACACTGGGCCGCTCCGATCAGGAAAAAAACGGACAAGTGCACAAGCTACTCATCCGAGTTTTTCATGTCATTCCGGACCGGAAAAAATCGGACCGCCGGACCTGAAAATTCAGTGTAGTATTAAACCATTTATTCCGACATGAAGAATTTCATGAAATTTTTCTGGAATGAAATTGTCATTTTATTCAAAGACCTCTAGGCGTATTTCTAATCGTTGATCATTATTGTATAAAAAATACCATCATGTGCAACAATTAACTTTTAGATAGATATATATAGAAAACGTTTATAATAAACTTTTAGGCAAAAAAAGATTATGATTGATAAATCTTTTATTCCGTGCTTAAGAGGAATAGCCCTGAGTACACCTGAGTGTCGCTTAAATTGTTTTCCCGTACTTCCAAGTTAATGGAGCATGAATTATTTATTTCTAAAAGTGATCTGAGGTCATTTTGTAGTAAGTGATCATTATTTATAGTTAGTAATAACATCTTTAGAAAAATAAAATTACGTCCAGAATGTGTGAATTTTATTAAGACATAACCTGCATAAAATAGCTCTCTTGTAAAGCTACAAAAATGTAAAAATAAAATACCAGTGAACTCTCGATTGAGTTATTTGTATATTGTTTGTATTTGAAA